CTATTTTATTTTCTTTTGTTAATTAACTTCCGTCTCTAACACGGAATATACACTTGACATCATTTCCATTAAAGCAAATTCATAATTAACAAAATTTTTAATTATTTAATAATACTAATTCAAAGCTAAGGTTTTACTCAAAGCGATTTTATCTTGCGTGCATCTACTTCCAGGTCACCTCCATGAGGTGACGGTGAAAAAGGAGCAATTCCGTGATCTGGCAAAGTCCCTGGATCACGGGTTTGATGCCGTCATAGCAGACGCACGTAGAAAATGTATTACTATGCAGGGACTCGGAACTCCAGTATCATCGGCTAGTCAGAGTAGAAAAGTAAGTCCGCAGACGTCGTTAGCATTCAACTGCAGCTCTACATTGTTTGGTGAGTTGGTTAATGTAGAGTGCAATCTAACAAGAAAAAATAATAATTCATTTTACGGGTTTGATAGCAATTGTGATGTGTTTTGTTACATTTGCTGCAAATACGAAGATAGGTAAAAGGGGAGCAAGATACGATAGCGGGCAAGACGGGTTTCACCAGTAATATAAGGTTTTTCTTTTAAATCGCAATACTTTCGGTTTTTTTGTGTTATTATTTAACATCCCTGGAACAATTTTATAAAGTAGTAGAAAATGTAGGTATCATTAAATCGCAATAATCAACTGTTTCTATTTACCGATAAATTTTTCAACTTTGCTAAAATTTTATAGTTATTTTTCTTATTTAATATTTGTACATTATTGATTTCCGACATATTTCATCCACTGTTTTAAATTTCTAAAATCTAAATTTGAATTTAGATGACACTGAAAACCTTTGAGTAATAAGCTTTTAGTAAATCTGATTGCTTGGGGGTTTTTTGGGTCGCTGATTACGAATCTGTTGTTAGTTTTTCAAAATTTGAAACAGCGTATCCAATATGGCGGACATATTTTTCTAAATGCGTCAGTTTTTGCTTGAAACACGTTACTCAGGGGTTTTCAAGGTCGCTGATTACAAATCTAATATTAGTTTTTCAAAACTCAAAAAGGCGGATCCATATGGCGGACAGAAAAATTAAGAAGCAATCAAATTTTCATAAAACTTATTACTCAAAGGTTTTCAGTGTCATCTAAATTCAAATTTAGATTTTAGAAATTTAAAACAGTGGATGAAATATGTCGAAAATCAGTAATATAAATATTAAATAAGAAAAATAACTATAACATTTTAGCAAAGTAATTAGCTAGTAAATAGTTTAACAGTTATCTACAACCCCACGGTGTACCACGTGGAAATGTACGGCAGGATTTTACACATTTTTTTCAGATTTTTTTTATTTTTATTTTTTAAAAAATAGAAATGTTAAGAAAAGAAAAAAATTCGACCAACTTTAATTTTGTCGTCCGCCATATTGGATTTTGTAAAACTTACATCATATTCGAATTCAGCGGCCTTTAAAACTCCCAAATAACGAGTTTCAAGAGAATCCGATCAATTCTTATTTTTGTCGTTTGCCATATTGGATCCGCCATTTTGAATATTGAAAAACTAACATCAGATTTGAATTCCGCGCCCCAGAAAACCCCCGAGTAACAAGTTTCAAACGAATCCGATCAATTTTCAATTTTCCTGTCCGACATATTGGATCTGTCATTTCGAATTATGAAAAACTAACATCAGATTCGAATTCACACACCTATCTTTAACAAAGAAAAAGTTGGTCCCCGATGCCGAAAAAAAACTCTTGAATATTTTAAATCTTTATTCCCTAAATAAATAAAATTTCAAAGATTCAAAACCGTAGCCGATCCTCCTGCATGACTTTTTATGAATTTATTGTTTTTTTAATTAAATTAAATTGTTTCATTATGATGTGCAGATTAGTTGAAATTACTAGTGCAATTTTTTATACTTATTAAATGTAAAAATAATAACAACAATAATACATTACTATAATTTTTAGGAATAAAAGTTGGATGATCAATATTTTAATTTTAAATCCATGCTGTCAACAAAAATAATAAGAGAGTATTTTTACTAGAACACCGCAGATGTAAACATTAGATTATCCGAATTTTCTATAATTTCTTATTCTTATTAATATACGCAAAATTAGTTATTGCTATTGCAATTTGTATTTATATCGTGTAATAACATAAAAATGATAACAAGTTGGCTAAAATTAGTTCAAAGTTTTGTATATGTAGTTGATTTATTTTTAATCTATTTAAAAATGACTTATTACTACAAGTTAAATTACGCGTGATGTTATGATTGAAATATAAAAAAAAATGTACCTTATGCAGTAGAAAAATTGTTTGCAATGACGGTAATTCAGAAACTTTTTTCTAAATCCGTTAATATGTTCAGATAATATTTTTTGACAATTTACACGCTTCATCAAAATGTAGATAACGTTTCTTCTTTCTCGACGAATCAAATTTATAATAGTATGCTTGCAAACACTTTTGCCTTTCTCTTCGTAGACAGAAAATTGGTTCCTCAATTCGGCAACGTACTGCATTAGAGAGTGATAAAGTTCAACAACTAAAACGAGGTGACAATCTTTAGCTTGTAATGCTTTGCTGACAGCATTAAACCTTTGAAGTATATCGTTCGAAACAAGTGAAATGAAGCAATTTTCAAGATTATCAAGTGCAGCATGAATTCCTTTGGCTTGTTGACGAGTTTCAGGTTTTTCAAATTCATTATTAGCTATTAATAACAGGACATTTAAATTTTTACTCCAAGATTGACAAACACTTATACATGCTTGGTGTTGATCTGACCAAATCTACTTGTTTTTTGTGCCTTTTATTAATTTTTTGGTATGTGCGCAGGGTGACCAGAATGAAATGGCGACTTGTACTGGCATCTATGTCTGATATGTACTAAATTATAAATGATAACATTCACGCATGTATTAAATATTTATACGAATATTTAATTTAAATATAAATTTGTCACATAATTAAATTAAACTGTTTGAAAATCAATAATAATAATAACAATTTTTATTTTTTATTCATAAAGTAGTAAACTTATAACTCTTTATTTTATAAATGCTCTTTCGTTTTACAATGTTGAATATCATTTTAATGCTATAACATAAAATTTTATACTCTTTTGCTCTAAATTTTCAGGAACGTAGATTCAAGTATGTTAAATAAATTCGATATCATTTTAATATAATCATTTATAAATTATATACTTACAATGAACGCAAGCCAACTAGTTGTGCTGAGTTTCAGCATTTTGTGAACAACTTCTTAAGAAAAAATTTGAAATTCTTGCAGTTGTTGTTGACGTTTCGTACTATTTACAAAATAGTTATAAACATCTCTGGCAAATTGTTCCACTGGCTTTGGTAATTTCAAATACGCCGCTAAAGCAAACAAGTGTGCCGAATGACCCCAAAACCTACGATATTCTCGTACGGTATATCATACGTATCCAATAATCTTTTAACAGCATTAAATATCCTTTCAGCAGTTCCGTCCGCCAGTTCAATCAAGCAAAAAAATCTGTCTTGAACAGATGAATTTACCCACATCCTTGTGATGACAACCAAACTTTTTGTGGTTGAGACATCCGTCGTTTCATCAATAATAACACTAAATTGGTTTTGTTTTAACTCTGACGCTAATTTTTCTTTAAATAAGGAGAAATATTATTATTAATAGCCAGAACTAAACATTTTGTTCTGCCAATTTTTAAGCCTTAAGCCAGTTGGGAATCATGAAAAATGTGCCGGCACGCGGGCAACATACTGTCAGCCACTCGAAAAGAAAGATTATTTTCGCAGAGGAAACATGTAACCTTAATTTCAGCATCGGCCACCCTATCTTTTAATGTGTCTTTCTTCATTGATTCGGTAATATTCGAACAATTTGAAATTTTTTTAATATTCAAAATGTGATTGATAGAATTAGCGTGTCTTCGGAGATGAAATGCACTTCCAGAAATTTTTGTGTTACAAAGTGTACACACTGTTGATCCACCAGGTTCTGCAGACCATTTAAATTCATTTAGTCAATTCACACTAAACTTTTGTTTGTATTGTTCCTTTGATTTTAATTTACGTGTTTCTTCTATAATACTAGAGTCGCAGTCAGAGTTAAATTGTCCGATTGAATCTTTTTCTGAATCTGTGACGACGGTACATTTTGTTATTAGATTTCTGTTGCAATCGACATTTTCAATTTTCAACGTTGAAATTGAAAAAATAGTCATAGAAGTATGATTTTTTAAATAAATGTGAAAGTGTAAAAATTTATTGCATTTTTTACTCACCTGTTCATTTCGAAGACAACAATGAGCCAAATTTAAAAAAACTAAGCAAAATTAGTCATCTGAAAATTAATAGTATTTATAATAGTAATATAACCTAAAATTCATCGACGCAGCACATGCTTTACACATGTACGGTCATTATTTATCACAACCTTTGTTTCTTGTTAGTATTAAGATTTAAAGAGTAAACTATTCTTAAAAAAACAAAGTTTTTAAAACCTAATATTAAAAACAAGATAAGATCGTGTTCAACAATTGTTTACCTTTATAGTGATCTCAGAATTTTATCGAAATTAAAAACTTTTCAAGCCGGTCAGCTGCAATACAATATTGGGATCTCTTGCACTGCGACACGCTATCTGGTGGGACTTTCTGTAACCCCTGACAGTAGGTTACATCGCCTGTCAAAACATTGTTTGCTTACCGGTTTTATCAAATTTTCATAATTGTATGAATAATTAATTAACAATTATTAAATTACAATAATTATTATCGTCTTTTTTCATCATGGAGTTTGAAAAAAGAGAAAATAAAAGTCGTGTTTTCTGTAGTGTACCGGGTTGCAACAGCAAATCGTGCCGGGAAGTGACAGTTCGGTTTTATTGTTTTCCTAAAAAAAACGCAAGCCAGGTGAAAATTTTAAACAAATTCGGAAATGAGGAGTTGGTTGACCGGAGATTTGCTTGGATAAAAGCACTAAGAATCGGGAAAAAAATTTCAGATTCAATGAAAGTTTGTTCTCTGCATTTTAAAAAAGAAGATTTGTTTTTACAGACAGGTAAGTAAAACAAAAATTAAGACAATTTAAAAACTTTTATTTGTTTATAAATTAATAATTAATAAATTTTAATAAAATATAAATTAATAAATTAATATAATAAAAAAAATGTAAGATTATTTATATAATTTTTTTTCATAGAACTGGGTAATGACAAAACGTGTAAAAAGCTCGTACGTTTAAAAAAAACTAGTGTGCCTTCGCAAAATCTTCCTCAAGGAGTTATTGTAGACAAGTTAAGTGTCAATGAATCTGCACGTGCATCTCGTGAACTTAGATCGAAAAAACGTCTTAATAGATTTGAAAATTCTGAATTTATTTCTAATGGTGATGAACAGACTCAAAATGATTCAGCTCAGGTAAACAAATTTTCAATAACCTTCCAACTTTTTATGTTTTTGATATGTTTTGTAAATCAAATAGAATTTTGACATTTGATACATTTGCAATAGGAAATCGATTTAAGAAATGAAAATCTGATTCAAGAGGTAGATGTTCAGAATGATAAATGCGAAGAGATTGATAAAAATAAAATTGTGGGAAACGACGATTTTGTAGAACCTCTCTTAGAAAAATCTGCTGTTGTCCAAGAAAATTCTCATGTAGATGTTGAAGTTCAAGTTCAAACTTCCCAAATAGATGCTGCAATTCAAGTTGCAAGTGATTTTATTATACCGCAATTTTCAACTTTCATCACGACTGATCAAGAACTGAGCACAATGACAGGCATTTGTGATTTTAAATTGTTGTCTACAATTGAGCAGTTGGTGAAACATGTTAAATCAGATAATACAAGTGTTAAGTTAAATACAAGGGAATTAATTATTATGACATGCATGAAGCTAAAACAGAATATGTCATACGCAATGTTGGCAATATTGTTTAAATTTAAAAGTCAAGACAATTGCAAAAAACGAATTTTTGAAATGATTGATATTTTAAATATCTGTTTGAAACCTGCCATTTTTTGGCCAAGCAAAGAGAATGTTTTGAGAAATATACCGAAATGTTTTCAAGGATTTGAGCAGGTTAGAGTAGTTGTCGACTGCACTGAAATTCGAATTCAAAGACCTGCGAACTTATGCTGCCAAATACAAACCTACTCCTACTACAAAGGAAATTATACTATTAAATTTATGACTGGTGTAACATCTGCTGGATTGATTTCCTTCGTCAGTCAAGCTTATGGAGGTCGAGCCTCTGATAATTCAATTTTCGAGCAGAGTGCGATTTTAAATAAATTGGACAAAAATGACATTGTAATGGCAGATAAAGGCTTCACAGTGGAAGAACTTTGTAAAAAAAAAGACGTTTCTCTTCTAACGCCTTTCTTCTTAAGAAATAAAAAACAGTTTTCTGAAACTGAAGCCAATGTAAATCGCGATATTGCCAAAGCCCGAGTTCACGTGGAGCGAGCAAATCAGCGATTAAAAACATTTGCTATTCTTGGCGACATCCTTCCTGTTTGCATGATTAGCAAGATTGAAGAAATCTTCAACATCATCTGTGGAATAGTAAATCTGAGTGCACCAATTTTAAAAAATGATAAATTTTAGTTTAAAGGATTGGAGATTAAATACTGTAAATGTTTTTAAATACTGTTTATTTTTCTTATAAAGTTAAATACGAAAACCATTTTTTACAAAGATGACATGTATTTAAATTGAGTAAATATTATTACTAAGACAAAAAATACATATTTAATGTTTTTAGTTTCCTTTATGCATTTGAATTTTCATTTTGACAAATGTAATGAAGCATATTACTGAAATAAACTGTCTTCAATGATTTTAATAAATTTTTGGTATAGCTTTCGTCAAAATCGATTGAAAGTAAAAGAAACTTGTCGTCGAATGGAGCGTAAATGATAAAGTCAGTAACTGAAACATTTAATAAGGCCATACCAATTTGCACTTGGGCATAATAAGCATGTTTTTTTTTTAAACGTAATTCGTTACCTTCATTTGTCAGCCATTTTATAGATTTAACGACCTTTTCCAATTTTTTTGTTTTTCCTTCATACGGACATTTTATTTCAAGCAATTTCATTAATTTGTCATTTTGAAACACAATGCCATCAGGCGAATATCCTAACCAAGGGTTCTGACGCGATACAATTAAACCACATTGAAAAACATCTAGAGAAGTTGATTTTTTATATGCTTCACGTGCAAGCGATTCACTATCTCTTCCATGTTTAACATAGCAGTTGTTGATTGGTTTCGGATAAAAATAATTTATCGATTTATTTTTCCAATCTGGTTTCGAATTGTTTCGATATGTGAATAAACTGTATGCGTTACTCCCCGTTATTCTAAACTGTCTCTCTTCTAACCAGGTTGAATAAAATTTAGAAGTTTCGATACAAATATCTTGAACATTCTTATTTAATCGGGAAACGAAATCTTCACAACATTGTCGAAGAGGGTTTGTTTGAACATTTCTTAAATCATTTAGAATCTTTGACGAATCTTGATTTTCAAAAATTGCTTGTAACTTATCAAGTTCAATTGTAACATTATTATTATTATTTACTTCCTCTACAGGCTCATGTCTTCCAGACCTATAAAATAACATAAAACAAGAAAAAGGCAATGATAAATTACTTTCATAACGCCCATTTTAAATATGTTGCAGATTATGGAATTTAATTGTTCACAAAACAAAAATAGAAAAGTCTCGTAAATAATTCAATTTTTCATGTAAAAATATAATAAATCAAATAAAACATTTGATTGCCTATCAAAAAGTGTAAAAAATCACGAAAAATATTCAATTGTAAAAATATAAAATTACGTTGGAATTTGATTATGATAAATAATATATAAAATTACATTCTTTTTCCATGATTAAAGCAACTGAAAAAAATTACAAAATGCAAGTAATAGAAAAAATAATAAGCAAATAAATAAATAAATTAGGTCAAATTCCTCATTATAGAGCACGTGAAAAATGCATTAACTATAGTTTAAAAATTCGATAATAGAATGTAAAAACAAAATTATATCTAATTACATGTGATACGCTAAAGCCGAGGTATGAAGATTTGTAATCATTATGTTTCTCAATAAATCTTCATCCAACTGATATTGTGCAGTATTCTCAGTTTCTTCACTTTCAATTTGCTTGGGTGAGAAACATTTATGTTTTCTCAAAGGCTGCGTTTCGTACTTTTGAAGTGTCGATTTATGGGGAGCATTCCAAATGCACTTCTTGTCAGTGCAAGTAACAGTTTTCAATTCCTCTAGGTCATTTCTACAAAAAATGAGAGTGCTTTAATGAATAAAAATAAATTATCAAACAAAAATTTTTAGTTTACTGACAGATTCTTAATTTTTAGGTTATATTTAATAATGTGACTTGATTTTGATTCTTTTAAGGTGATCCAAAAGAATAAAAATAATTAATTATTAAATATGTGTTATGTGTATAATGGACTCCAATTTGTAACTACATTGAGAAAGCAAAATAAGTTCAGAAAAATAAAACGTTATTTGACTGCATGTTATCGAATAAAAGAAATATAATTTAAATTCAAGAATTAATTTTTTCAACTAAAATTAATTATAATTAACTTAAATCAGTTCAAATTACTTCAAAAAAACTACTTCACAATACGTTCTTCAATAATATTTGACGATAAATTATCGAAAATTGAAAAGTAAAATAAACAATTCGTATACATAACCTAAAAATGGACTTGTGTCATCATCAACGTTTCTTTCTCATTAACTGAACAAAATACTCAATAATTATAAATAAATGCAAGTCTAATAATCAAAATTCAGAATTAAATGACAAATATTTACAATAATAGTATTTAATAAAGAGAATTCTAACCTGTTGCAATATAGCAGTACTGCTACCACATGTTTGCAGGCACCACTCAAACCGGCTTTGCACGAGCACAACATTGACAATATTTCACCTGCTTTTGTTATTTTACCAGTAATCTCGTGAGGAGAATCTCTTATACTTGAGGTTTGGAGACAAAACGCCAAAATTTTATAATTATAACTGTCATCACTGGTACTTTCATTGTTGAATACTTTTCCGCAATGTAAAACGTGTCCGGCATTGAGAAGGCCTTCTCCACCAATAAAATTTTTACAATTTGGTTGCGTGTTTGCAAATTTGCAAATTTCTTGCATGCAAACCTTCATTTTTTAAATATATTTTTGAAAAAACAATAAAAACAAACACTTCTGTTACTGTACAAGTGTACATGTAACCTCCTGTCAGTGGTTACGATTTTCGCCGCTAGGGTATAAAAAAATTAGCCACGCCCCACAAGAGATCCCAATACAAGGTATATTTATCTAAGATACAAGGCAGGCAGGGTTATGCAATTACGCGTTCTCAAATTTAATTGGCTTTTCTGATAGCAAATGTCCAAAATATGAAAAGTTTCTGTTATACAGCCAATCACATTTTCGTTAGAAACATTTGTTGCCACTGAAGTGTGTAAACGCCTTCTTGTTTACACTAATCACCATAAAATCATATAAAAGTATGTATTACAAACACTATAAAAAAATTGTACTAAATATGTCAAAGAGGTACTTAGAGTACTGCTCTTGTGTAAATTGTACTAGTTTAGTACAATTCTACTGAAAGTGGCAACCCTGTATGTACGTTTATAGACGTAGCTCACACTGAAAGCCCACTTTAGAATGTACGTCTATAGACTCTCACACTCGAGGGGTTAATTAAAATAACTTTGATAGAAAATTTAGATCTAACCAAATTTTGCCATGGCAGGAATTGTATAGAATCCATTTTTTTGAATTAACCTTTGGAGGCTTAATGTGTCCAACAATATCTTTCCAAGGCAATGTTGTCACATCAGGAGTTGAGGGCCACTTTCACGACTTCAAACTCTTTTGCATAGCAGATATTTTTGCTCCATCTTTCGTTGTTTTAATAATTTTTCCCGAAAAGTTTGATGTTCTTCACGAATAGCACATGATACTTTGCCCAACAACTGTAAAATATAAATTACAGTTGACAGCTGTCAAATAAACTGTCAAGTTTGCTGAAAAGTGATCTTATCGATTTAAAATGAAAGTAGAAACATTTTCAGATCAGCTGGTATAGAATTTAAGGTAAAATTGATAATTTTTTTTATTCATATTATAATTTAACAGCTGTTGAGTTGGCAATAAGTGGACAGTTAATATGACAGCTGTCAAACTGTCAATTTGACATTAACTATGTGATCGCAATAATTAAACCTTTCAGTTGGTTGGTTAATATCTATTATTAATTTGGCAATTTTTATTATCCTTTTTATACCCAATCTATTCTCAGTATTTCTCATTTACAATATCTTAATTCCATAGAAGGCGTTGGACAAAATATTTTCTCCAACCTCTCCAATGCACTTTTCCGTTCCAATGGCAGCTTCTTATTCTTTTTCGAATAATTCTATTTCTTCATTTTCTTTTCCTTCCTTCTGTTCTTTTCGAGGTCTTCCTCGCTTTTGTTTTGGTTCAATGCGGTCTGTTTCATCTCTTTCTTCGTGTAGATTATTATCGATGTTCGATTGCTTCACTTTCCATTTCTTTCACCTTTTGTGGCCTTCCTCGTTTTATTTTTGGACCATTTTTCTCTTGATCATTATTTTTCTTATTGTTTTTCTTCTCTTCCGTCTCTTTCAGTCTTGTAATAAAGGTCCCTGTCATGAGGACTTTTCCATACGTTTGGTGTTTTTATCGTGTTCCTAGACTTTTTGTTGAATTTGTTGCTGGATTTTGTGCAGCGATCTTTGTTAGTTGATGGGCAAAAATATAAATGATTTCCGTAACAGACGTGGATTGTTTTTCTTTATGTTTGTTTTGGTTTACAGCTTAAGTCTAGAGGACCCTCTGACATTTCTTATTTATTAGTATTTGTCAATACTTCTTTGAAACGACCATCATCTACAAAATTGTTTCGAATGAAAGAGATAGATTCTTGTCGTTCTGATCGCTCTGAATGTTCTGGTCCCGGAGAAGCCAACCTTTGCTGCTTGTTTCGATGTTGCTCATAACAGGCTAATACCCTTGCACCGAATAAATCTTCATCAAACTATGTCTCGTCAAAAGAAAAACAATCCGGTGGATTTAAAAACTACTGATAATATTCTTGCGGCTCAAATTTTTCCACAATTTACCCAATAATGCATTAAACTCACTTTTTGCAAGGCGGGAGTTCTTGTATCGCATTTTTGATTTACCATCTTCAACTAGAATTTTGTCCCATGCAGTTTTGACGGGACAAAAATCACATTTATCCAGTGGTTGAATTCAATCAGTCAGATGGCTCTGGAACTTCAAAATATCTATTTTATTCTCAAAGGCTTGCTCAATTATGTAGAATCCAATCCAAAATAATTAATTTAGTACGTATTTTTATTTATTGAAAATTTATTATTACAAAATAATATATTATAATAATATATTATTACAAAAATATTCAAGTAATTCTTCATCTTAACTTTTCTCTTAGCAATCAAAAACTCGACTAACTTCTAACTTGAGACCTCGTTGCCACACAGGGCTTGGGTCTCTATAAT